CCTTAAGTTGGGAAGATAAGAGTTTGGCTATTGAGGGTATGCGGAATTCTTGGTTCCCGATGCTTGCCCAGCTTTGGGGGCAAGAGTTGTGATGTAGAGGGACAGGTGCCGGCATGCAGTTTAATAAAAATTATGGTAAATTGTAACAGTGAAAGACACATGGCTGTGACTGTCCCTGGCATACCTATTCTATCATCCCGGCCACCGTCTGAAGCAGTTCAGGAGTCCTCCTTCACGAATGTCTTCAGTTGGGCTGTCTCAGCTTCCTCCAAGTCCTGACTTGATTCAGCATGTTTACCTTTCATGGTCCTTTGCACTTTGAGGAAGACACGGAAGTCGTATGGTCTCAGATCTGGTGAAAGGTGGATGAGGACACACTGTCGTGTCTTTATCAGCTTGCCTTCCATTTTTTGGCACTCAGTAGCAGCATTCGCTGTGTTTTTTATCACGCTTCGTAAAGACACTCACAAAGAAGGACTTCCAGAGCTGCTTCAGAAAGCGGCAGGAACAATGGGATGACTGTGGGCAAAGCAAGAGGGAGGATTCTGAGGAGGATCCGTGGCAATGAGTCCCTTTACTGTAACAGATCTTTTTTTAAATTTGAGCATTCATTGCATATTTTGGTCACCGCCGTAATTACGGAAAAGTGTGTTCTGCAGGTCTGTCAGCATCTATTGTAAGGAACCATGCAATGAATTGCTTTCTAATATCAGAAATCTCCAACATTCACGTGCTGAGAAAAATCGATACTGAGCCCGTGAGAGTCTTCATATCCATACTGTCCCTCATCTTCTTCCAGAAGAATAGCAGAAACAGGAACCGAGGCAAACAGCCTATTACACCTGTGGTTCTCTGGGAACCCAGGCTCCTTCTTGGCCAGCCTCGGAGACCCTGACACACACTCACAGCCTCCTGCCTGGGCCCCACACTTCCTTCCTGGTTTTTGAAGGGCTTCTACATCTAGCAGCTTTCAAGATCCTTCCAAGAGCCCCACCCCATGCCTGGCAAGGAAAAGTATATTCTTCCATTTCATCCACAAGTTAAATATGCATTCAGAACCACAAAGACATGCCAAGTGTGGTGGCACACGCCTGTAATCCTAGCACTTGGGCAGCTGAGGCAGGAATCACCTTGAGTTAGAGGCTAGCCTGAATTATATATGAGATGCTGTAAAAAGAACAAAAGCAAAAAAGAGACAGAGACATGAAACAACTACCCTAAGGTCACACAGCCAGGAAGCAGAACTCATGTGAAGTCTTTTCAGCCAATCTTCTTTGTGATTGGTCATATTTAAAGGCTAACCTCTTCTCATCAGCAGTTTCATAGACCCAGATACCTGTGGGCCTCATGGTGTCAGAATTATTACCCACACTGGACAGACGAGGAAGCTGAAGTTCCGAATGCCTAGATGTTCGCTTAAGTTTACCCGGGTAGATGAAAGAGCAGAGACTTGGCCTCACAGGCTGTACAAGAATGAACCACGAATCTGCCATGCCCGGCATGGTCCCAGGCACCAAGATAGAAGACAGAAGCCTAGTTCACATCCTAGTGAGCGTTGTGGCCTCCTCTTGCTAACCCTGGCTGCCCCAGCCACCAGCCCTCAGGGCCACCCAGAAGGCTCAAGACCAGTCAACCCAGTCCCCTTGGCAGTGGGTCACCCTGCAAATCAGCTGGGCTTGCCTGGGCACCCGGCCCTGGGCTCAGTGTTAAGGCCAGACACACCTGTGTCCTGCTGGGTGGCTTTGAGCAAGTTACTCGACTTCTCTGTCCCTCCATTTCCTCATCTGTAAAAAAGAAAGAGGGCTGGGGATTTAGCTCAGTGGTTCTGCCACCTGCCTTGTGAGCACAAGGTCCCGAGTTTGACCCCCAGTACCAAAACAAATAAAAAAGAAAAAGAATACTAAGCTGGGCACAATGGCAACACCTGTAATCCCAGGCCTCTGGGAGGCTGAGACGGAAAGACAGAAAGTTTGAGACCAGTGTGGGCAACTTAGCAACTCGTCAAGAACCTGACTCAAAACTAACAAAAAAGGGTTGGGGGTGTAGCTCCACACAAAGGCCCTAGGTTCAATCCCCAGTACTGGAAGAAAAAAAAAAGGGGGGGGTTCTAACAGCCCATCCCTGCAGGTCTGTAGCGAGGGTGTAGGAAGATGAACCATCCAGTTCCTGAAACACAGCAGAGTATCTCATGTGGATTGGCAGATCTGGGGCTCTGGGAGTCAATTGGCTACCTGGATTCGGTGCTGGCTCCACTCACTTCCTGTGTGTCCTCAGGCAAGACCCTGAACCTCTCCGTTTTGTTTTTGGTACCAGGGATCAAACTCGGGACCTTGCTCTTGCCAGGCAGATGGCGGCATCACTGAGCTAAATCCCCGGCCTTCCCTGCACCTCTCTGAACCTCGCTTTCTTCCTCTGCAAAATGGGAGTCACAATGAACCGGGCAGAAAACATTTGTGGGATCAAGGGACAACGTGTTCTGCAGAGCACGGAACACTGCCTGATCGGGAGCAAGCTCTCAGCATTCGCTGCTGTAACTTGGCCATTTACAAAGCGAAGCCTCCCATTACCCAAGTGTGTCTTTTCCTCCCTCTCTCCCTTCCCTTCCCTCCACAGCTGAGGAAACCGAGGCTAGAGGCACGGAGGGGGTTGAACCACCCAAGACTTTATCTTTGGAGAACTACCTCCAGCTCAGAAAAGGTTCTGGTCTCCTGCCGTCCCCGGAGGCCACTTGCCGGAGGCCCCTTCCCAACGGAACAATGAGCTGGGCCCCGCCTGGGAGAGGTGGAGGTGCCACCTGTCACCGGGCCGCCAGAGTCATAACCGCAGAGGACCCCGGCGAGGACCAGTCCCCAGACGCCAGCAGAGGGCAGCCATGAGCCCCAGTCTTAGCAGAGGTATCTGATTCGGGGACCCGGGTTAGGACAGGGATTCCCGTCCCGGGAAAATGCGACCCGCAGCCCTCCCGCCGCCCCCCGCTGCGGAGGCAGAGGCCCCGAGAGGCTGCGCGTGGCCACCCGGCGAGGGGGCGACAGGGCCGGCCCTACAGGTCCCGCGTGGCACCTCTCGGGGCGACGCTTTCTCCCACAACCCTCCGCCCCCCACGTGTCGGTCTCTAAGGCAGTGGTCCAAGCCTTGGAACCCACCCGAATCCCTGCGCCCGCCCCAGGTTGTCCCCAGCCCCTCCCGCGGCCCCGCAGCCCCGCACACCCCACAGATGCGGGGACAACACTCAAGGAACCAGGCTGCCCCGGGAAAGGGTCCGGCCCGGCCTCCCAGGGGGAAGGGTCCAGCCCAGCGGGGATCTCCCGGTCTCTAAGGCAGTGGTCCAAGCCTTGGAACCCACCCGAATCCCTGCGCCCGCCCCAGGTTGTCCCCAGCCCCTCCCGCGGCCCCGCAGCCCCGCACACCCCACAGATGCGGGGACAACACTCAAGGAACCAGGCTGCCCCGGGAAAGGGTCCGGCCCGGCCTCCCAGGGGGAAGGGTCCAGCCCAGCGGGGATCTCCGAGCCTCTCCGGGCCGCACCCCAGCGTCCCGCGCGAGCTATCCGCGCCCCGCGTCGTTCGCAGTGCACTCGCCCAGGGCGCCCTCACCGGAGATCACAAAGCAGGGCAGCCCAGGCTCCGCGGGACCAGTTCCCGACCCCCAGCCCTGCCCGGTAGACCCAGCGAGGAAAGAAAGAACCTGCACGCCCCAGGAGCCCAGATCCCCGAGCCAAGTACCGTCCCCAGCTGGTTCCTCGACGGCTGTCCCGACTCAAGAGAGAGGAGGACTTGGGGATCCTGAATGACCAGGAGGGAAGCGCCGGACAAACCTCGCGGTCCCGGCGGGCCAGCCCCTTAAAGAAACACAGCCCCTTTCCCTCCCAGGGCTGGGCCCCAGGGGAGGAGGTGGTGCGGACCTGAGCAGATTCCGGGCGGGCTGGGGACCACCCCGAAGCCGCCCAGGGAGTGTCTGGGAGCGGAGGCCAGACGCAGGTGGGGGGTGAGCATGGGGGCGGTGAGAAGGCCCTGATTTACCACAGTCGGACAGAGCGGGGAAGCGGCTCTCCGGTGCTCTGTGGGTGGGCTATGGCTGTCCCCTGTTTAGAAGAGGGCTGGAGGAATTCCGAAGACCTGAGCCCCAGGGAGAGCGAGGGGGTGCCGACAGCCCCCTGGGGAAATGGTCTCCTGTGGCAGCACAGGATGCTCTCTAGTAAACTAGCTAGAGCGGGAGGCTCTGGGTGGGGACAGGGGAGAAGGATGGGCCACCCTGCAGCCCCAGGGGCAATCAGGCTTCCGAGGACCCTTAGGGTTCTGGCATCTGTCGGCGCCGCCTTCAGGCTCAGGCGCTACCTCTCAGAATGCCTGTTTGGACAAGGTGTTTTCTTTCCCGGGCCAGACTGACAGCCCCACCACCACCACCCTACCCCACCCTTGTTTCCTCAACGGAGAAGCCTAAGGGAATCAGTGTGGTGGGAGATGACCTCAGGGTCGCAGAGCCCAGAGCCTCTTCCTAAAACAGCTCAGGACAGTGTGCACACGTGTGTGTGTGTGTGTCCGTGTGTGCCTGCACTTATCAAGTCAGAGGGCTACAGTGGAGAATGGAGAACTAGACAGTAAATTGCTCCTAAAGCTGAGCACCAGGCACATGGGCCAAAGGAAGGCCATGAAGGTTCCTCTGCAGGGAAAGACAAGTCTCATCCTAAGCAGGGTAGAGGGGAGGGGAAAAAAAGAAATCGGCGGAAGCACCAATCAGGAAACTCTGATGACAACAGCCAGAGTTCTGGTGGCCTCCAGTAGCCCAGACTCAGCACTGGTGCTTGTGTCTTGTCCACTTTACTCCTGGCAAGGCCAAGGACTCAGTCCTTTTCCTTTCATCTTTCTGATGAACTGAGGACCAGAGAGGTTGAACGCCCTGCCCAAGGTCACTCTGAGGCAGGATTTGAACCCTAGTTGTCTGACTTGAGGCTTTGAGTCCTGAGCATTTAAACCAGGAAGAGAAAGGGGCCTGGGTTCCAAAGCGAGGCGGGGTAACAGGTTCCAGTGGGGATAGCCACGGGGTGGGGGGACAGGCAGGGGCAACTTTGTCACTGTAATTCCCCTGGGCCAGGGTGGCTGCATTCAGGAAGCAGAAGTGAATTTGCAGAGGCAATGGTAAGGAACACCCAGAAAACGGGGGAGACTGATCAGAGAGGAGCCCAAGTAAGGGGACCCCAGTGCAGGGCTCAGGAGGGAGCTTTAGATGAGAGGGAGAAAGAATGAGGTTACCTGTGTCTCTCAAGCCAGGAAAGACCTGTGACCACTGTCCACCACACTGCCTGGCTAGTCAAAAAGATGGCCTGCAAACTCCCCGATGTGGAAAAGGTAGGCTAGCTATGAGATGGGAGCAAGGCTCAGTTTCCCCTTAAGTGAAGAAGACTCCTGGGTCCAGCAAGGTTCAACCTACAGTTGGTCCCTGGGAAGCAAAAGCATCCTGAGCAGGCATCTGGAAAGGCGCTGCTTCCCGGGGAAGGCTGGAGCAGGGCTGGGGTAGGAAAGGCTCCAGGGGAAAGTCAGAGGCCAGAAAGACTCCAAAGCTCCCCCAGATGAGGTGTCCAGCACCCCAGAACATATGACGACCACTTCCCGGGCCTTTCCTTCTGTCCCTGCCAGTGAGAAGCTCGGGCAACAGGCAGGTTTCTGGAAGGCGCCATCTCCACACTGGTTTCCCTGATATGTTTCCAGCACAGCGCCGCCTGCCCTCTGGTGGCCAAGTGGCTGACCTCCTGCTGCCCAGAGGCAGCCTGTGCTGTCTCAGCCTGGCTTCCAGAGCTTGGACAATACGATGCATCTTGCAAACTCGGGTGGGCTGCGCTGGGGGTGGACTTCAGCCGCAAAGCACTTGCTTGGCATATGGAGACCCTGAGCTCCAGCCCCAGCACCTCAAACCTGAGGAAGCTGGTGTGATACACACCCGTGATCTCAGGAGGGCACATGAGCTTAGCCTGGGTGACTAAGAAGACCCTGTCTCTAAATAAAAAAGGGCTCAGTGTGAGGGCCCTGGGATCCCCAGGAAAGAAAAGTGGAGAGGACAGCGGAGCGTAAGGGAAGAGAGAAGGGCAGTCTCACTGGCCCCTTTCCCAGCTAGTCAGTGACTCCTGCCTGCCACTCCCTTCCTGGCTCACCAGGGTTCTGGCCGCTTCTTGATAGGCCCTGTACAGGCAAGGCAGAGGAAGGACCTCTTTCCCACCAGCACTGGAGCACACAGGGCAGCAGCCTCCCCAGAACCTGTGTGTCAGGCCAACAGGCCCCATGCCCACCCGGCAGCATCCCATCCCCTCCTCCCTCCCCACGCTGCCCACACCGGGCCTGCCTGCCGCAGCTCTGGAAGCAGCCCAGGCTCTGCAGGCTCCTAATAGTTTTTGCAGCACAGCACTCCAGTGGTAGCAGAGAAAGGGGAAATCGCTGGAGGAAAAGCCAGCAGTGGCTGCCAGTCTTCCTGGCATGGGAAGGTGGGAGAGGCAGTCCAGGAGACAGCCTCAGTGCCAGGCACCCCCTGGCCTTGCACCAAGCAGCAGCCAAGGGGATGGAGATGGAGAAGGAAAAGGAGGGGAAGAGGGAAGTCGGTGACCCCACCCCCGAGACCCTCTTCCTGCTGTCTATGCAGCTGGACAGGTAACTGGGGGAATCCGGGGTGCAGATGGGAGACCAGGACCCAGGAAATGCCCCTGGGAGGAGCGATGGCGAGTAATGAGGAAGCACAGCCGAGTTCCAGTGGTGAATACAAATATATTTGGGAAGCTGCCCGTGGCCTGGGAGAGGAGCCGGCACAGAGACCCCTGCCCACCCAGACAGCCTCCTGCTCACCGCCAGGCTGGCTCCAGTCTCCTGTCTCTCCACAGACCCAGCGCCCCTGTCTTCTTCCTAGGGGCAGGGATCAAGAGGGGTCTCCAAGGAGATAAGGAGGTGTGCTGGGGAGACGCAGAGCTGGCTGGCAGCGTGTGCCCCAGGCTGCAATCGCTGGCCCGGTGCTTGGGGGGTGGGTGGACTCTGCTGTCTGGGGACTCAGGGACATGGTGTGCAGCGAGGGGCTTGGGAAGACCAGAGGCCCCTCTAAAGTCAACCCAGCGCTTGGAGCCTGGGATCTGGGGAGGTGCCCTGAATCAGAGTGAATCCCAGACTGAACCCCTGGGAAGATGGGGAAGCCTGTGGAACAGGAAGGAAAGGAGAAAAAGGGTGGCAGCCTTGGGTGCCTCGTCCAAGGCTTAGAGGGAAATGAAGGGACAGCAGGACGCAGCAGGCAGGGGCAGCAGGGTGTGGAGAGGCAGCCCTGTGGTCACTTAGGTCCCTCAGGTCTGACCTGCGGGGCAAGTGCTAGCAGCCCAGCAGCTCCAGCCGCAGGGTGATGCGGTTTTGCCAGGACACCGGCAGCACACGCACGTAGCGAGCCAAGAAGGGCGTCTCAAACACATTCTTCTTGTGGGAGTTGTTGTCCAAGTTCCCCTGGAAGATCTGGAGGCAGGGAGGGTGTGGGGGTCACCCCAGAGTAAGCTCCCTCCCTTCTTGTCCCCAAGCCAGACCCCCACCCCCCAGATAACGAGTAGAGGGTTACAGACACCCACCTTGCTGTCCACAGCCCCCGGCTCCTTGTATTCGACCCAGTTGACGCCATTGTTGCTATAGGCCACCTTGTAGGAAGCCACGTACTGGATGTGGCCAAAGTCACGGGCGCCCTGGGTGATGATCCCCGTCACCTGCTTCTGGGAGCCCAGGTCAACCTATAGGAGACACCACCATGTGTCCCTTGCTGGGACCCCTGGGAAGGTGGAAGGAGGCAGGTGCCCCAGGGCACACCCTAGGGACCCCTACTTTCTGCATAATCTGTAGAATGGGCACAAAGAGCAACACGCCCTTGGCCACATGCAGCAGCAGGCACTTCCCTGTGGTACAGTCCCAACTTCAGTCTGGGCCCCGCCAACTCCGCACCCAGCCCTGCCCCAGCCGTGCACCTCGGTAGGATGGGGACAGGGACGGGAGAGGCCACAGCCTGCAATGGGACAGACTGCTTTGAGGTCCCCTGTACCAGTCCTGAGGGGTCCCCAGACAGGTGGCTTGGCATGGAATCCACTCCACTGGGCACCTCGGGCCTCCGCCCCGACCATCCCAGGACAGACAGTCCCACCGTCCAGCCTGCAAACCCCACTCGCTGCCAACAAGGGGACTCAAGTTTCCCCATCTGTAACACAGGCTCTGGTTCCACCGTTCTCATGTTTTCCAGTGTTTTCCAACTGTGCACAAGTTGGGGAAGGGGGCCGTGAGACGCCTGGGTTCGGTGTCCCCCTCCGCTCTTGTCAACCCTGTGCAGCCACTGAGGGTGGCCCTGCCCCGCACACACAGACACATACAACAGAGAAAGGCAGGCCACATGGAGGAACAGTGAGGAAAGCCAAAGAAAAACAAGGCCTCAAGGTCTCCAGGGAGCAGAAGCCCGGTCGGGTGGACAGACAGAAGTCACAGGTGCAGCCACCCCTCCCGCCCGCCAGGTGGGGCGCCCACCTGCAACCACTCAGAGGCGTTGGGAGAGTTGCTCTGCGCTGTCCAGGCATTGAACTTGCCCTGATTGTCCAGCCTCGCGAAGAAGGGCGACCAGCTAAAGGCTCGCAGGCCCCACATCTTGTAGCTGCTGGAGGCTGTGATCTGCCTGTCGGGGATGGTGCCATCCTTCAGGCCCAGGGGTTCGGAGCATCCTGCTGGCAAGGGGGGCTGTCACCCCATCTGAGATCTGCAGCTCCCTGGGTGGGAGCACAAATCCGGGAGGGGGAAGAGTGGAAAACGTCTGATCTGCCCCTGAACTTTGTTTGTTTGTTTGTTTGAGAAAGAACCTCAAGTTTCCCAGACTGGCTTTGAACTCCTGGGCTCAAGCAACTCTCCTGCCTCAGCCTCCCCAGCCTGTAGCTGGGGCTACAGGTGCCACCACCACATCCAGGCTGTCATCCTTGTGGGCGAGAGAAAAAAGCTCCATCCAAATACCCCACCTGCCACTGTCTGTCCCACTCTGTCCTCATGCAGCCTGGCAGCCTCAGCCCCCACACCCTCACCGGCGCCTTGCAGACCACACAAGACCGCCCAGCTGCCACTCATGTCCTCAGGCACCAGGCCACCCAGCCACACCACCTCCCGCCCTCCTTCAGGACCCAGCCTGCAAGAGTGCGGCGCTCTCCCTCGCGCCTGCACACTGCCACCAGCCACACCTCACAGGTATTGACAACCATTGTCTGCCCAGTGCTGACCTCAGTCACGGCTTCAGCCACAGGAAAACCTGAGCAGGGCAGCTGTGAGCCATCCGTCCTACAGATGAGAACATGAAGGCTGAGGCAGGAAGCACCAGATTTGCAGGCCTGCTGGGAAAGGCTCAGCCACATGCCTGACAGCAGCCCTGCTCTCTAGCACCCAGGATTTGGAGAAGTCAGAGCCCTGGGGCCCAGGGGCACCCCTGCATCCTATGCTAGCCACACACCCCCTTAGCACCTACCCATGAGTCCTGGGTGCTGCTGCACACACAGGCGCCCCTGTGCTCACCCCATCCTCTCCTGCCCCTGGGAGGCAAGGCAACCTCAGCACCCACAGGGGAAGCTTGATATCGGGGCCTTGAGTGGAACCTGCAGTGATCACGGGCAACTTCAAGGACAAAGGTGTCAAGTTAAGAAAGCAAGGGGCCAGGCCCCAAGGACAGGCCACAGGTGACTCTCTCACCCACTATCTAAATTTCTCCTTAGCAGAAGGCCAAGCCTTTCACTCCCCACTTAAACAATCTGGCTGAAAAGGCAGAGGGCCTAGGAGGGGACGTGTTTCAAACAGAGATGGGGACCAAATGGAGCAATGCTCTCCTGTAATCCCAGCACTCTGGGAGGCCGAGGCAGGAGGATCCCATGTGCAACTCCAGCCTAGGCAATTTAGCAATTTAGTGAGACCCTGAATTAAAAAAAAAAAAAAAAAATAAAGGCTGG